GGCGCGACTTGGGGGAAACGCGCAACAGAATTCACGGGACGGCACGAAGAGACTCTCGATTTCTCGAAAACAATCCGAATTGTCGAAAAATTGGCGGATACGGTGCACCCTGGTGTCCGGGGAGCGGTAACTTGTGGCCAAAGGTCAGTTCTTTAGTTTTTACGTTTAAAAAAGAAATTGTTTCCCCTTCGCCGAATTAACGTTATAGAGAAAAGATCTTCGAATCGAAACTAAAATTAATTATTTTTATTACTCCTCATAGCATATCGAATGCGATGTGTGCAAAATTCGCTTCTTTACGTGTCGATAACTGCATTTCCGTTTTCTATGCGCTTCGTAAAATGTTCCTTAACTCGCGAAGGAAACGCGTTAGCTTTTACCAATTTGCACTGTGAATTGATTAGATGTGCTAGACGTCGGATTTCATTTATATGAAAGTTCGCACTGTTGTTAACGTCTGCGCGTAAATTTCAAGCGCAAGTAAATGAAGACCTGCAAATGAAGGGGATCTTTCCACGGTTTCTCCACACATTTTCAACGATCTGGCGACTAGGTGTTTCCAACTAAAGTTCATCGGCGTATTCATTCTTCCACGGATTGAATTATATTATATAAAATTTCAGAAACAAAATTTTAGTTATAAATAATTCGATTCTTTCTTAATATGAATGTATCTGTGCTATGAACTTAACGCTAGAACTAGCAAACCAGTAAAAATGACTGGCATCTCATTTTTCCGTTCACAATTCCCGATACTATAAAAATGTTTCGTCAGAAATTTGTACACGAGCCTGTTCGTTCGATCACATACTACGATAAAACTCGAAGGAAGCTGAAACAACTCGAATCTTGTCATTGTTATAAAACAATATACATTCGCGTTTAGGATTCGGTGGTTCCAGTATTAAAACTTCGAATATCGCTGAAACAACTTCGGTCACGAATTACCGGTTCGCGGAATACCGTGCGACGGCGGCGGGATCCGCGCTATTGGCGTGTTTTTACGAGAGCCACGCAATATTTTACGGCCGATCGAGAATCGCGGCGGTGCCCTATCGTCGAAATTCGCGGTGCGGCGGACGTAACTAGGCACGGGGGAGGCTGCGAATATCGTTCCTGCTACAAAGGAAAAGTTCGGATCCGCGAGCCGAGCCGCGGCGGTCTGAGAACCGAAAAAGGGGGTGACCGGGGGGTGGGAGGGCAGTGAATGGCCGGATGAATAATAACTCGGTTATTGAAAGAAAACTCCGGTCGATGCGAGTTTCGAAACTCGGAACCGTTAGCCCAGTTGCCCAGGATAACGCCGCCATCGACTTTGTTCGTTTCTCTCCCTCCCCCACAGGCCGTTCTACGTATCTCTCTCTCTCTCTCTCTGTCTCTCTCTTTTTCTATCTCTCCCTTTTGCCCTCCCTGGCAACCCTCTCCCTTGTCTTTCTCCCGATTTTCGTCTTGAACGTCCCAATCCGCCGGCTTCTCGTCCTCCTTACTCGCCTCCGAGCCACGTCCGCATAATGGCTATTCGGATAGCGAATCGATTTATTTCCCCGGGGGCTTCCGGAAACTTGGAGCCTCTCGAGCCGTGAACTTGGAACGGCTCTCCCGGTCTCCTCTCTCTCGCACATTCCTCCGTTCCGAGACCGCGGGCGAAAAACGCGTGCGACGGAAACGCGTCGCACGCCGTGCAGAAAACGCGGCTGTCGCGAACGCCGCGCGAAACATGGGCGTCGTAAACGTCAAGAAGGGCGCAGGCAACTTAACAGTCAGTAGCCGGATAATATGTGGGCTGGAGAAATGGCGAAGGCGGGTCACTCCGGCGCTGAATTTGCTGCGAGGAAACATTAATGGAACATCGCGAGCGAGAACACCGCCGCCACGTTCTTTTATTGCGTACGCGCTAGCTTCCAATTCCATATTTATAGAATATTTTATATCAGCTGACTCGTAAAATCGTATTTTCTCGTAAAAGTATTAAAATTATTGTAACGACGCGTAATATTTATTGTTATTCGCACGTTCGCACTATTTCCACAGAAAATACTGATGCTGTCGACAAATATACAGGGTGTCCCGAAAATGTCTCGCAATCCGGAAATGGGAGGTTCCTGAGGTCATTTGAAGCAACTTTCACCTTTGCGAAAATTTTCTCCGAAGCACCGTTAACGAGTTATTAACGAAAAACAGTGACCAATGAGAGGCGAGCTCGGCTGGCGCGCGGCGGCCCAGCCAACGAGTGCACGGAACCCAGTTCCCCTCATTGGCTCGACCGTCTCGCGCCAGATGATCTCGCCTCTGATTGGTCACGGTTTTTCGTTAATAACTCGTAAACGAAGCCGCGGATCGCATTTTCGCTAAGGAAAAAGTCGCTTGAAATGACCTCAGGAATCCCCTACTTTCGGATTGCGAGACATTTTTGGGACCCAGCTTCGCTAGCATACTGTCGAACGCCCAGCAAAAGCAGATCAACTTTTAACGACAAGAAGTATGCGAACAGGATAAACGTCAAGCAGAACGGGAGTGACATGAACGCCGACAAGAACGCGAGCGAAGCAAACATTTAGCGGAACAGGAGAAACGAAAAACGCGATTTTGATCGGCAGTTTTCTAGGACGAATTCCGTTTTCCGCGATGGTCGAACGTCGTCGACAGGACGCCAACATGGCCAAAGAACTTCGAAGGATCGCCCACCCCGAGCCACGACGGTTTCTCCGCTTTTCGTAAGCATCGAATGCATCGAGTCGTCAACTGGAAAACAGCTGCAAACCGGGTCTCGAATAGTTCGTGAACGTCGAAAATGCCCGAGGAATGGATCGTTAGGGTACGTTTATGTTGTAGCTGCGATAAAAGCCGCGACAGCATCGATTAGAGCGCCGATAAAAGCTGCGAAAGGTTTCCTTCTTCGGTTCGTTTATAATCGCTAATGGCCCAATTATTCAAGGTTTCTCGAAGATAAGCGATCCCGGGGATGCATCGTCGTTGTTTTCCAGTGCGAGAACACGGCGTACCGAGGAATATTATGCTCGGCGGCACGATGTGAACGCTATCGTATAAAATGATAGAATCTATTTCGACGCTTCGCTCTCATCGACGCTCTTATCGTTTATCGCGGCATAAACGTTTGGGGGACGACAATGTGTGTTATGCGAGATGGAAATCTCTCCGAACCCGCTCTCGAGGAAGCGGTTAGTTAGTTATTTTTTTAGCTTTGGGGAAGATCGCCATCTTTTTGATGGCGAGGGAATAGCCTTTCCTATACTTATTGTCGGAAACAGTTGCACAGAAGATCCTAGATTGATAGGTACTTCTCAGTACCTATTTATTAAGTTCGCAGACATTTTTCGGCTTGCCTGTTACATTCCCGCCCAAAAATATCCCACAGATATTATATGATAAATATATATGATAGATATATGATATCCCATATTATATGATAGATATATATCTCACATGCCTTGCAATAACGATGAAGGCTTAGACGAACGGCTGCGATAAAGATTTTCATTATAATTTATGACGCATCTCTTATTCATTTTTTTTAAGTTGCAATAAAATTTTATACTTCTGTTATGGATGTTCAACGATTAGAGAAAATACTATAACTAATAATTATGAATGACAATGAGATTCTAATCACTGCAGCCCCACATGCTTAAGACAACGATTGCTCCTTCAACTCGATTTGCATCCGGATCAGATCCGGATAATGTACCCGAAGGAGCATCGTAAACCTAACCGGTAACTCAAATGTCCCTTTTGAGAAGGCAGGTGGTACTGCTGGTAGATTAGAATCTTCCCAAAGGAAATGGATTCGTACGCAAAGCGGTAATAAGTCGAGAATTATGCGCAACACTCTGAAACCTTCGTATAATATCTTCGCCCAGTTACATTTCTTACGTTACGTACCGTGAAGAAAATCCGTATTCAACGAGCACAAGCAATGACTTCACCCTTTACTTAGTTAGCCATTTACAAACTCCGCCCCATTCTGGACCTTGTTGCATTATACTTGAATCTTATCTTAGCCGCGTCATCCTCGAACTCGCTAACACTCGCGATTCCTTAGCATCGCTCGAACTTAGGCGTCTACAGTCGCCCCTACAAAGGCGTTCGCACAAAAGCATTGCGTTTCAGAACGCAATATATAACATTTTCAAAACTGAACCAAACGACTTGAATTTCTTTTTTATTTTTAGATAACAGAGGGACTCGTCTATTGGACAAAAGAAAAGTAAAAAGAACTCTCGTCTTTAAACTTTTTTAAAGCGAATCTGGAACCAAACGACTTGAATTTTTATTTTTAGATGACAGAGGGACTCGTCTATTGGACGAAAGAAAAATAAAAAGAACTCACGTCTTTAAACTTTTTTAAAGTGAATCGGGAACCAAACGACTTGAATTTCTTTTTTATTTTTAGATGACAGAGGGACTCGTCTATTGGACAAAATAAAAATAAAAAGAACTCACATCTTTAAACTTTTTTAAAGCGAATCTGGAACCAAACGACTTGAATTTTTATTTTTAGATGACAGAGGGACTCGTCTATTAGACAAAAGAAAAAGAAAAAGAACTCACGTCTTTAAACTTTTTTAACCGAATCTGGAACCAAACGACTTGAATTTCTTTTTTATTTTTAGATGACAGAGGGACTGTCATCTCGTCTTTAAACATTTTTCAAGCGAATCTGGAACGAAAATGTAAAAAAATACTTCTCCGTAGATCTCAATGATTTATGCGCATAACTTCGTGATCGATTGACGTTGTTACAAGTTACAGACAATTAAAGACAGCGGGAATCGCAGTTTTCCACGAATTTCAACCAAAAACGCGTAATCTTCCACATCTACGAGCGACATCGACTCAGCCACGCAGCGTTCTAGTCCAGTTTCAAAAAAGTTATTGCATTTCGAAAGGTGTTCGACTGCTTTTTGCCGGGGGTTGCAGCGTTCCTCCGGATGACCGGCGGCAACTTCGCAAGAGGGATGGGAGGGGAGAGATGCGCTCACCTTGTTCGGATAGCCGTTGTACCGGAGCAGCTTCTTGCAGCATTTCCCGCGATTCTCGTAGTAGAACATCTGGACCATTTCTGCGTGGTCCGTCGCGGCGCTGACGGTGAACGGTGCACCGTCGTTCCCGAAACACCTCGACGAGGAGGCCGACTGCTGCTGGACCGGTGATTCCCGGCGGCCGAGTGGCACGCACGGACACCACCCCGAGACCATCACACCGATCGACACGGATCCAGCCCGATCCAGGTCCGTGCACCCTCCGGCTACCACGATCGCTTCTTCCTCGGTGGAACAGGCCTTCTCATCGTTCGCTCTTCGACTTCGGGCTCGGGTCGCTCGCAGATGTCTTACCGGCTTGCCCAGGCTTCTTCCGCTCGCGGACGCGTTCCGCGGCTCCTCGGCCGGCTCCGAAATTTGGCACTGGTTTCCTTCGGTAAATACTTTGGCACAGAATTGCTCGAGGGCCGCGCGGCCGGCTCCCGATGGCTCCGACGACGGTACGTCGTTGTCGTCGCCGACGCCGTCGTCGCCGCCGACGCCGCTGCGACGTTTCTCCGTAATTATCGACGGGTGATTGTGCTCCGCCGACAACGATCTGGAAAAACGGATCGTAGACGACACGCGTCCGTGATCACCGACGATCGATTCGCGGCCGTCCGAAGCGTTCGCGAGGTAAACTCCGAGAGAAATAGGTGACTTCTATCGTTCGACACCGCCGGACCGCTTTTATTTCCCCGGGTGTTTTTCCCGGCGCGGATCGCGAGGTGCCCGATCGTTGCCGCGACCGTGGAGGCAATGAAATCCCAACGATACCGGAAGAATCGGAGACGAACGGAACCGCGAGCGCCGTTTGGTCCGCGAGATAACGAGGTCCGCCTCGATTTACGGCCGTACCGTTGCCTGTTAATCGAACCGCGCGCACGGCGAGACCGAAAGACGGCCCCCCGCGCGATTCCGCGTTTGCGGGATATCTACGCGAGGAAATCGATTCCCGCGTATCGACCAGAAGCGGATCGGTCGTCGGGGCCGACGACGCTCGATCGGGATTCCCGGCGCGAACGAGTTTCTCCGAACAAAAACCACGGCGATATTCCGCGACAAGCTGGAACGGTTCGCCGCGGGCCGCGGAGAACTCCGGGAAAACTGGCGGGTCGCTTTTCAGCGCTTTTGAAAACCGTCTCCCCGCCGTCGGTGGATCGACCGATCGCTCGACGAAGCGGGGAATGCGGGGGAAAGGATGCATGCGGCTAATGGAAACCGCAGGTTCGACGAACTCTCGGAAAATCAGACGGATGTCCGCGTTTCTAACCGTGTGCCGCGTGCACCGGACGGCCGGAGAACGGCAAACTGCTATCGAACGGTGCGGTTTTATTCGGGGCCGGGCCGAGGCGGATCGGACGCGAGTTCGGATAGACGAGACGGCTCGGTCTATCCCTTTAAAACTCTCGCCCCCGCGCGAGGATTACCGACCAAATGCGCGCCAACCACCCGCAATGTCCGCCGTTCGGCATTCTTCGCTACAATCGAACTCTGCCTTCCGATCCCCGACGTTGCGAAACGAGATCGAGATCGCGAATCGATCGCATAGATATCTGGAAAATCACACGGTTCCCTCCGCTTCTGAATTCGCGAACGAGAAACGCGATGCATCGCGGCCACCCAACGGTTCCGTTCTCCACCGGAAGCTATTTGAAACTTCGAGATCCACGCTGGAGTCGATTTCTCCTCCTTTACCTCCTTTACTTTATCGAGTAATCTTGCGTTTCGCACCGGCAACGATCGTCTTTTAACTCCTCGTACGTTCCTCGTTTCGAAAGACAGCAATTTCTCCTTAATTCGCGGCTAGATCGCGCACAAAAATGAACAGTTTGGGAAGAGGAGATACGATTATTCGAGCCTTCCGGTTTATTTTTATGGTTATAAATCGTCCGCAATTATAAAAGTGAGCCGCAAGGCTCGAATAATCGTATCTTTGCGCGTCAGTAAGGGAGACATTACTGTAAAGTAATGTCTCCCTTATTGACGCTCAGTTTGTACACAAAAGTGGACAATTTAGGAAGATGAGATACGATTATTCGGATCTTCCGGCTCGTTTTCATAGTTACCGATTGTCGTTAACTGTAACAACGAGCCGCAAGGCTCGAATAATCGTATCTCCTCTTCGCAAATTATCGATTTGAGTGGACAATCCGAGCGTCAGTAAGGGAGACATTACTGTACTTGGCGAGATCGGCGCGAACTATCGAAGAGAACTATCGAAGAGAGTGTATTTGCATTGAAAAAAGGTTCGACCGAGGCAATTAAATTAGTGGCGTGATTAAAAACGTAGCCTCGCGTCTCGTTTTTATAATTGTTGACAATTCGTAACTATGAAAAAGAGTTGCGAGGCTCGAATAATCGTATCTCCGCTTCCGAAATTCTCCGTTTCTGTGCACGATCTGTGCGCGAATTAAGGAGAAAATTACTGTATCGCGAAATGAGCCATTTATTTTGAAAGTGGCCTAAGTCCATTTATTTGAAAATCCAGATATTTAAGGTTTCTACATTTGAATAAATTTAAAAATATTGCTAATCGATAACATGGTGGCATAATGGTTTTGCGTTCCTAAGGGCCACTGCGTTCTTATTAAAATAGTTAGCTCGGTGTTTTTGAAAAATGAACTTAGGCCACTTTCAAAATAAACGGCTCAAATATCTGATATCTGGAAAACGGATTCCCGTAGATCGTGAAGTTACAACCGCATCGCGGAATCGTGGTTCCGTTGAAAAGCGTAGCGAGAAAGGACGAAGTCTTCGGCACAGTTCGCTTCGAAGAGCGTACAAGGATTAAGATCACCGACAAGCTACATAATTAGGTCGCAGCCCGCCGAATCGTTTCCTCGAAGCGCAATTCCGTCGGCACGGCACGACCGAGAGATTCACCGTTGACTCGAGCGGACGTGAACGGAACCGTGTTCGCGATCGGCGGGGACGGCGCTGTTCTCTCCCCCCTCGCAGAAACGGGGGGGACGGAGAAGTTTGATCGCGCGATGCGAATTACGTTCGCCGGAAAGTTTTTAGGGCGAACGGGTCCACGAGCTCGCGGGGATCGCGCACTGTTGTTACGAAACGTCGAACGAGCGTGCCCGTAAATTCGTTCCTCCGGAACTCGATAACCGTAGCCGAAGAAAACTCTGCAGTCCCAAGCGCCGGGGACACACACGGTGTTCCTCGCGGCGTCGCCGGAGTTTGAAAGTAAAACGCGCGAGCAAGTTTTTTTTCTCGACCGTTCGAAAGCCGGGCCGGGTGGTCGTGACTCGAAATCGATGTCCGCGAATCGACGAATCGCCGGACCGGCGATTCCGGTTTACGTCGTTGAATCGACGATTAAGCTCGACACTCGTGTGGACCTTGCACCCGCGCGGCTCGCGGATAAAACGGTCGCCGCCGTTTTCCTAGGCTCTCGCGAGCATCTCGCGAATTAAGGTCACTCGGACTTCCCTCTCGGCGCCGACGATGCATCGAAGACACGGCTTTAATCGCGAATCACGACTGGAATAACCAGCCCAAGGGCGACACTGTGCTTCGACACGAAACAATGTCCCCGTTAATTAAACCGATTACGGCAACATCTGCCGCGACGATTCACCAGCGATGCCGTGGCCGGACCGACAGGCGAGACGGTCGACGAACGATCCTCTCCTCTCTATCTCTCTCTCTTTCTCTCTATCTCTCTCTCTTTCTCTCACACACACAGACACTCTCTATCAGGAGGATCTATCTCCTTTTCTCGGAGTCGTAACCGAGAGAACGTACCTCGATCTCGACGAGCGCGTAGCTTCGCGGTAAATCCGTGAGCAAAAGCCGCTGGATACGCTTCGGATACGCGATTTCTCTCGCGAACGAGACCGGCACCAAACGGGAAGATCGAAGACGAACAGCGGAACGAGCTCGAGGAAGCGAGAAAGCGTCGAAGCGGAAAAGCGAAGAGAAGGTGTGTTGTAGAGTGGCAGGGAGAGGAGGATGAGGAGAAGGAGGAGGAGGAGGAGGAGAAGGAGGAGGAGGAGAGAAGTAAAGAAGCGAGAAAGGCAAGGCACGCGCGATCGCGCGATTCCAAGCGAAAAAATGTCGCGCTCGAGACGGCGAGCGAACGCGGACTGAGGGGCACGGGCTCGTCGGCTCGTCGACTCGTCGCGCTCGACGTCGCGTCGACGTCGAACGACGCTACCCTCGTTTCAACGGCGCAGGACAGACTGAGAGCTCGACGTCGACCCGCCGTCCGCCGAACCGGCTGCCCCCGACCCCCGATCCAACATCCCCGAGCCCAGAGCCCCCAGCACCCAGCCCCCAACCGCCAACCCCGAAAGCCCCCAGCTCTTCGAGCTCCGAGCTGCTCGCAGCAGCACCCTCAACCTCCCGCCAACCCACGCCGCCTACTATCCGAGAGCATTCCCATCCCCCTTTCCGCTCTGCCATGCCGCTCTGCCAGCGACTAGCACGCGCGGCTTCCTTCCGCTCTGGCATTCTATCGCGCCGACACGACACGTTCCTGCGTCTCGCGCTCCGCTCCGGAGACCCTCTCGAATTAGCCGCGACCGCTCGCTCGATTTCTCGCGATTCCAGCTCGCGCGCGACCAGTTTCTTTCCTCGTGCTTGTTGGATCCGCCGCGGTCCGCTCGAACGCGACGCTATCAAACGCGAGCACACGGAACGCTCCGCGAGACGGTAAGCCGCAAAACACCCCGGTGGATGGTTTTGTTCGCGGTCGCGAAAGCGCACGCGCCTCCCCCCTGCCTAAATCTCTCTCTCTCTCTCTCTCTCTCTCTCTCTCTCTCTCTCTCTCTCTCTCTCTCTCTCTGCCAAGACTCCGCTAGACCCCAAGTTTCGCACGCGAACTTGCCAGCCTCGAAATTCGCCGGTCTTTCAGCCGGCTTGCTTCTTCGGTCCGCCAAATTATCGGCTGACCAAAACGTTTCGCGCGTCGTCTTAATCCCCCTCCAAACGGCTTTCCGTGTGCTTCGCCGACTATCTGACCGTGTGATAATAGATAAACCTGATATTGGTCGTGCTCGGAGGAACGTAATGTCAATTAACGGGGTCCATTAGCGATACGGTAGTGCTAGTTTAGGGCGTCTTGATTCGATCAGAGAACATTTTCCTGGCGTTGTTCGAGGACTTTTCTTCGAGACGTCGAGGCGTTAATACCTTCTCGCGGGCGTCAAAGCTAGTGTGAAAGCCTGTCAGTCTCGGAGGAATCTTGGTAGAGATTACAGCGAGATTTGCAACCAGTCGTTGCTTAACAGCGAGTCTACAGCGAATTATAAGCGCTATTTTTATCGCTAAATTTCTCGAGGCGATTGCAGAGACCGGTTTCACAAGGCTGAAAGTTGCTGAAATTATCGAGACTCTCTCGGAGAAAATGGTCGAACAAATAATTTAAATAAGTTGAAAATAGTGTAACAACATTGTCGAGTTCTTCTTATGTCCTCGCAATTTTGTATTACAAGCAGCTCATTTTTGCAACGAATGCGTAAAATCCGCGGTCTAATCATCGTTCTCCATTCTAATTTCGTAGCACGAGAAACTATAGAAACAAACCCGTTAAAATATAGAAATAAACACATGAAACAACCGCGATCCCTACGATACTGCGTGCGTTATGATAACGAGAAAATCGGCGGCCGGTGGGACGCTCCTTGATCACGTTGATCCCGCGAGCAACATACCGAATGTTCCTCGTTATCGTCCAATTTTCTCGCCGGTCGAATGAAATCCAAGGTAGTAGTAGCCGTTGTCAGCTCGCTATATTTCTTCCCGGTTCGTCTAATCTTTCTTGCTCGCGGCCTCAGTTCCCGTTGCGGAAACGGCGCGCTTACGCGCGAGCGCCATGAAAATACGCGGCGCGGAATCACGAGCCGGAGACAGGAGAACGAGTGGGGCCCTTCTTCTCGTCTCGATTCGTCCCGTTCTCGGTTCCTCTTGTGTTTCCCCGAGCTCAGTTTCCGCGAAGAAAAGGCACCGGCAATGAGAAATCTTTTGTTCGATATCTATCCGTCGTTGGTTCGCTCCTCCTCCGTCGTCCGACGGTGCTCCCCCACGACGGAATCCGTCGGCACCATTGTCGCCTTTATTCTTGCTCCCAGTGGAAGCCAATCGCACGCGAATATCTTCGGCCGCGTTCTATATTTATTTGTTTCTTTGTCGGCTAGGAAACCCTGCTCTCGCAGGGATATTACAGTGATGTCTCTCTAATTGACGCCCATGAAAATGGACAATTTGGGAAGAGGGGATACGATTATTCGAGCCTCGCGGTTCATTTTTATAATTATAAATCGTCCGCAATTATAAAAATGAGACGCAAGGCTCGAATAATCGTATCTCTGAGCGTCAGTAAGGGAGACACTACTGTACAATAATGTCTCTCTTACTGACGCTCAGATTGTCCACAGAAATAGACAATTTAGATACGATTATTCGAGCCTTCCGGTTTATTTATATAGTTATAAATCGTCCGGAATTATAAAAATGAGTCCCAGGGCTCGTATAATCGTGTCTCTGAGCGTCAGTAAGGGAGACACTACTGTACAATAATGTCTCTCTTACTGACGCTCAGATTGTCCACAGAAATAGACAATTTAGATACGATTATTCGAGCCTTCCGGTTTATTTATATAGTTATAAATCGTCCGCAATTATAAAAATGAACCGTACTGTAAAGTAATGTCTCCCTTATTGACGCTCAGCTTGTACACAAAAGTGGACAATTTAGAAAGATGAGATACGATTATTCGAATCTTCCGGCTCGTTTTCATAGTTACCGATTGTCGTTACCGTTACCGACAACGAGCCGCAAGGCTCGAATAATCGTATCTCCTCTTCCCAAATCATCCATTTTAGTGGACAATTTGAGCGTCAGTAAGGGAGACATTACTGTACTTGGCGAGATCGGCGCGAACTATCGAGGAGAGCGGTGCGGAGACCGCGTATTTGCATTGAAAAAAGGTTCGACCGAGGCAATTAAATTAGTGGCGTGACTCAGAACTGTAGAAGGCGCGTTAACACGTTAAGTGCCGATGTCGACTCCACGATTTCCCACGATGTCAAAAGTTACTTGACCACTTGCACTACGATTTCTTTCACGGCTACGACGATGACGTTTGTTCGTCACCGATGAATCGTCCACACGAGGCAGGCTATTTATATTTACTCTATGCCACGTTGCTTCGCTGTTTAAAGATTGATGATAAGAAGGTGGAATTCTACTTTGACTTTATATACGCGAATAGCATGCATGTTTAGCAGATCATTGTAAAATTAATAAAAATAATTCCCCGAATCGCGTGTGCAGAAATGCTAATCGTTATCGCGACTCTTTAGATCTCCGTCGCAACTCACTTTTCGACCATAAACGCTCTGTCGCGAATGCGATACGACAAACCTCGACTTCCCTCTAATATCGTAGCATTCGCTTTTTTCTCTTATGTTATCCGCCGATCGCGCGAGCTCGTCGCATTTCTATCGTCTTTGTAACAAAGGGCTTTGACCGGCAAACACTTGGTAAATAATAACAGCGATGATCGATGAAACCTTAGAAGATCAATTTACCGTAGGAGATATAATTAGCTTGATCCTCCCTTATTCCGCTCGATACAGTACGATAAAAATGAACTCGGAAAGCTAGTTAGAAATTAGCGTCGCTCATAGGACGTGACCGACGCGTTGACGACGAACGAGAATTGGTTTTTAAAGCCAAGCAGCGAACTTCGAAGACCGCTATGGAACCTTGCTCCGCGAAGACTGCGGATCGTGCGCGTTTTCGAGGAAAACGAGAAGTGAGCTGGGTCCACGATCCCGCGGTGCCCTCGTCTCGTCGAGTCACTATCTTTAGGCTGTCGAGGATGGGGACACACGCGTGTCGCGCTGTCGCGCAACGTCGTTTACATGGAAATTTGCCTCGGCGGACGCGAGCCCCGGAGTCGAGCTTTTAATTATCGGGCTACAGGCGGCGGCCGGAGGGCCGAGTTTTTCGCGTGCTCGTCCGTTCCACGGAAAACACCGGGCTAACTTCCGGCGATTTCAGAACTCTATGTATATCGCCGATACGAAATCGAATCGCGCGGCGCCGAGGAGTCCCGGCACGTTATGGAACGGGAAGCTCTTTCGGACGAGCTCCATCGAGTTTCGAACTATTAGCATGGCTAACGAAGCGGGAAGATGCTGCCGAGCGATAGAATCGATGGAGCCACGGCCTGCGTTGAAGGTCGATCAACGTTTCACGATATAATAGACCGATCTATCGTCGTTGACGAACGAGCATCGGGGCCCATTGTACGGCCGTCGCCGTCGCATCGGTGCATCGAAACGCGGAAAGCCTGGCTGCGAAGAACCAGCTCGTTTTCAACCATAATATATCGTTACGAATCGCTCCGTTTCTGTCGCGTCGCGGCATTTTATTTACAATAAAGAATATCAACTATAATGCAAACTCGATTCAATTGTATTTGGTTGGCAACTAAGTAATTGCCGATTTCAGTTGTAGGTGTCTATTACTCCCATTTTTATGATATCCGTAAATGTTATATTAAAAAATTATTGTTATTATTATTATTATGTTATTTTTTATTATCCGTGAATGTTAGCAACTGGACAAATCGAATGCAGCGGTCAAGGAAAAGCGACCAGAATTGGTCAATCGTAAAGATGCCATTTTCCAGCAGGACAATGCTAGGCCGCACACGTCTTTGTCCACTCGGCAAAAATTGATGGATATTGGTTGGGAATCGATGTTACACCCACCATATAGCCCTGATCTCGCGCCATCGGATTACCACTTATTTCGATCCCTGAACAACTCCCTTCATGCTAAAACTTTTAATGACGATGACGCTGTAAAATCTCACTTAACTCAGTTTTTGGCCGAAAAGGATCAGACTTTCTACGAGCGTGGAATTTTCAAGTTGTCAGAGAGACGGCAAAAGGTCATCGGACAAAATGGAAAATACATTACAGATTAAACTTCGTTCCAAGTAACAAAAAATTTTTTATTTCATTGAACAAATCGGCAATTACTTAGTTGCCAACCCAATATTTCAGATCCCTGAATTTGGAATTGACTTTCGGGTGGAATTTCGAGTGACCCCTCGATTGTCCATTGGTAAAACACTGTTCCGTGGCAATCCCTATCTTCCATTATTTTTTAACGAGTTGCTCGCGACAGGGCACAGTTTCACATTACAGCGACTTGATTTGGACGAGTCGCCGTAACAATATA